GAATTTAACTTACTTAATTGTGGGTTGTTTAAATTTATGCTTTTCATTTAAAACCCTGGGAAACAAATAATAGTCAGGTCATCCATTAAGATGTTAAACAGGGATTATTTAGAAAGTTCCCATCATAAAATAGCATAAATGATGTTAGCATTCTGTCTTTTTATTCTGAAAATGTAGGTCTCAAACAGACTTGGTAAAATATTCCTCCAAAACCATTTGAGACATTAATAAATGATCTAACTTCTGTGAATTTTCATTTTCTCATTTATAAAATAAATACAATAACTCATATCTCCTAGGTTTGAGTTTTAAGATGTGACAATATATTAGAAAGTGTATTTTAAAATTTAAAGTACTGTATCAAAGTAATGATAACATTATTAACTCTATCTTATTCTGAAAGTTATTCTGAGAACCTAGGGAAAGCTGTGGAAGATTTGAAGTGTGGGTTGTGGAGAAAAATGTCCCAAATTTATTCCATTAAAGCTTGATCTGTAGTTATTAGCTTTTTTAACCACTTAGCACTTCAGAATCCCAAAGAAAGTTTTTATAAATCACATATATCAATCCCCAAAGTAAACTCCCTAAAAATGGAATTTTCCTTGTCAAGTCCAATCAACTCTATGTGATAAACTTAGAGGTTTTTTCAATGTTTTCCATAGTCTAAGAACAGCTTCTAGAACAGTATGTATGAGACTGTGGTATGGTTACTTAGTTGTAAATCTTTCACACTATGTAAGAACGAAACCAATACATTGCTGCCCAATAAGCAATTAGCAAGAATATTCTCGATATTATCAAACCATGTGCTAAGATTGGTTCACTGATCTGAACCCTGAACTCTAGGATTCTGCAGGGGTAATCTTGTCTTACCAGCTATTTGATGTTTACCTCATCTGTTCAACAGTGAGTCTAACCCCAATTTAGTTATTAGTCAAGCAGAAAGCTCAGGATCCAGGCCAAGACCCCAAATAGTTTCTCTGGTGGAAAGAAAGTGGCACTCTTTCTCAGACATGGCTAGATATAAAGCTAATGCAGCCCAGCAAGAGTTTACCTGACAATCAATATGGCATAAGTAAAGAGAAATAGAGGTAAACACTGTAGCAACTGGTCTGTAATCCCAGGTATTGGGAGGCTGAGGCAAGAAGGATTGCTTGAGCCCAGGAGTTCAAGGTCAGCCTGGATAACATGGCAAGACCTTATCTCAAAAAAAGGAAGGAAGGAGACAAGGAAGGAAGGAAGGAAGGAAGGAAGGAAGGAAGGAAGGAAGGAGAGAGAGAGAGAGAGAGAGAGAGAGAGAG